AAAAAAAAAAAAAAAAAACAATTAGCCAGGTGTGGTGGCTTGCGCCTGTGCTCCCAGCTACTCAGGAGATTGAGGTGAGAGGATCACTGGAGCCCAGGAGGTCAAGGCTGTGGAGTGCCATGATTGTGCCACTGTACTCAGCCTGGGCGACGAAGCGAGACTCTATCTCAAAAAAGAAAAAGTAAAAAAGAAAAAAAGGAATGAAGGTACACCAAACTTATGGGACGCAGTGAAAGCAAAGCTCAAACAGAAATTTATAGCAGCAAATGCTCATATTAAGAAGAAAGAGCTCCAAATCATCACCCTAATCTTTGGCCTTAAGAAGCCAGAGAAATAACAAAGTCAACTTAAATTAAGAAGAAAGAAGGAAATCAGGATTAGAGCCGAATTTAATGAAATACAGAATATAAAAATAATACAAAATCAATAAAATCAAAAGTTGGTTCTGGGAAAAGATCAATGAAATTGACAAACCGTTAGCAAGATTGACCAAAAAAAGTGACATCTCAAGTTACTAGAATTAGAAATAAGAGATGTTATCACCAATTTTACCGAAATAAAAAAGATTATAAAAGAGTATCACAAACAACTGTATGCTAATAAATTAATCAGATGAAACAGATAAATATCTAGAAAAACACAAACTACCAAAACTGATTGAACTGAAAATCTGAATAGACCTATAAAAAGTAAAGAGTAATCAGAAGTGCCCACTAGACAAACCTCAGGTCCGGATAGATTCACAGGTAATTTACCAAAATTTAAATAATAGTTAGTACCAATTCTTCATAATCACTTCACAAAAAAAGAAGTAGTGCTCACCTCAGCAGCACATATACAAAAAAAAAGAGAAGTGTTTCTATAAGGCTACCATTATCCTGATACCAAAATCAGACAGTAAAAAGAAAAGAAAACTGCAGACTATTATCTCTTAAAAATATAGACAAAAAAGTCTTCAATAAAATACTAGCAAACTGTATTAGTCCATTTGTGCTACTATAAACAAAATATCTGAGACTGGATAATTTATAAAGAAGAGGAATTTATTTCTCACAGTTCTAGAGGCTAGAAGTCCAAAATAAAGGTCCCTGCAGATTAGGTATCTGGCAAGGGCCTGGTCTCTCTTCTTCTAAGATGGTGCCTTGTTGCTGTATCCTCCAAAGGAGGGGAATGCTGTGTCCTCACATGGAGGAATGGCCAAAGGACAAAAAGGGGTCTTAGCTCGTTCCCTCCAGTCCTTTCATAAGGTTTATCACGAGGGCTCCATCCTCATGATCAATTTCCAAAAGGTCCCACTGCTTAATACCACCACAATGGAGATGAAGTTTCAAAGTGAATTTTGAAGCAGCTAGCTGGGGACCACAGGCATGCACCACCACACCTGACTGCTTAAAAAAAAAAATGTAGAGACAGGGTCTCACTTTGTTGCCCAGACTGGTCTCAAACTCCTAGACTCAAGGGATCCTCCAGACTTGGCCTCCCAAAGTGCTGATATTGCAGGCATGAGTCACCACACCTCGCCCAAATTATATACTTATAAATAGTCAAAATGGTGAATTTTATGTTATATAAATTTTACCACAATAAAAAAAGGGATAATGGCAGATAGCAATAGCACTGCACACTAATAACATGTCTACCATGACAAAAGAAACCCACGTGCGCCATGTGACTGAGGAGCTAGACAACAGGGCTGTGAGCTAAAACATCAGAGTACTGAAGGTTTAAGGAGGAGCTGACAGGAAGAGCTTCTTTTTCACACAAAGAAAATTACTTGGAGAAAAAAGAAACTTACTTCTTACACATAAAAATAAATCTAACAGGAAGAGAAAATGAAATATCCTTTCAGAGAAAGAGTGAATTCCCTCCCAACCAGAAGAAAGGGCATCCTCCCCCTTACCTCTTCCTGGGCTGATGGCTGTGAGAAGGGGTTTGTGGTCACTCATTTTCTCCTGCCTCTGTTTTTGAGAGACTATTTCCAGTTCCTTTTTTGCTAGCAGCTTGCTGGATGGGTAGAACAGGCCCACAGTCTGTGTGCCTATGTCCCTCTTAGTCCCAGCATCAGATCTGGGCAAAGGAATCAGAGACTGCCAGGCACATCGGGGCTATAAGTGAGGCAGAAAACATTTTTTTAAATTAGAATATAATTTAATCAATCTTCCATTTTACTTATAGAAAACAATTCTAATAGGAATAAAATGTATCTCAAAAAAACTGTACTTTGAGCTAAAAGGGTTTCCAGCTTTTGCCTCATGTTCTTTGCTCCTGTCTTTCCCAGCACCTCCCAGCCTGATCCATGAGTAGCCATTTATTATCTAAAATTCAGCAAATCAAGGGATGTTTGCTGGCCTGCATGACGCCTGGAACATACCTATCCTTGTCAGCTCTATAATGCAATAGAGCACAGATTTCACCACTCATACACAGCTACTGATCACCAACATTTCCGCTAATATACTCTCTTGCATCTGAACCTGAGGACCTGAGAGGACTACCATGTAAGGTTGTGTGGGTTGTGCACTGCACACAGTCACTGCATTGAAAGTAGTACCATTCAAATGGTAAACATCATATATCTGCACATGTATTAGAATAATTTTTCTAGTACAGAAACCAGTATATTACAAGCCATTACCAACAGATGGCAGTCATGTGTCTTAAGAAAAGAACACCTTTGTTTCATTTGCACAAAGGAATAAGGGCTAGTGGCAGTCCAAGATTTAAATCTTTCAAACTGGGTCAAGAAGCCATGAATTCCCTAAAACTGTATACAAAGTGCTGAGTGTATCCTCTAGTAATTATCAATCTTTAACTTCTTATAATGAAGAGATAAGAAGAAACATGAAAAGTCTTTATCCAGCTTAGAGAAATTCATAAAATTACAAAAATCTAACACCAAGCCAGTTTTAGAGCTTAAGTACTTCTGAAAATAACCTGGTGAGACTTTCCTCAAATTATGCCCAGCTGTTATAAATCACAAAAGCAATTTTATATACCTAAGTTTTCTAAAATATAAAAAAAGGGGAAGGAAAAGTTCTCAGAATGCTTCGCAAGAAATTCAAGAGAAGTGCATTCTAAAGTGGCATTATGTCCACGGCCTTGCAAATGTAACGACACGGACCTCAATTTACTGCACACAAATATGCCCATTTAGATCTTTGATTTCTGAAGAAATCATTTGAGTGTTTAAAATCTAAATCGACTGCATTTATTTACACACCCAGTTGAAATTCCATGTGAAAGTTCTCAATATTTTGGGTCTCTTCCCTGGGTTGATTCACAGGGTAGAGGACACACATTCAGAGTTACAACCTTTTCCCGGATACCAGTTCTTACTACAGGGGAGGCCTTACCTCGGAAAAAGGGCGAGGCTCCTCAGCAGCTAGAGCCAGGCCTCTGTCCATGCTGAGCCTCACCCAGGACTTCACACAAATACCACAGGAGCCACAGAATCGGGCAGACAGGTGATTGCTGGCCCCACATTTAGGGCAAACAGAGCAGCCAGCAGGAATGCCAAGCTAGAGGACAGAAAATGTCTTTATGAAAATTAGAGTTAAAATGTCCTTATGTAAATGATTCTCATACCATATGAAATAACACACTCTCTGATCCAGCCATTCTACCTTCCAGAATTTGTCCCACAGAGGGACAAGCAGAGAAATAAGTGTACTCCAGGTCAACCCCTAAAGCACTGTGATTTTAAAGAAATCACTGAAAACAACACAAATATCCAGCAATAGGGATGGCCTAAATAGATCACAGTACATACATACAAACAATGGATTATGAAGCCACTGAAAAGAATGAGGAGGTTACTAACAAGATACGTTGCTAAGTGAAAATAATTGGATCAGTGTTCATAGCACCAGTTTACTTATACATGCATTGAATAGCTGAAAGAGCATCTCCAGAACTGGGTATTGGCAATTGCTTCTGAGAGGAGAAATCTGGGACTTAGATGAGAAAGGAAACTAACACTTCACTCGAAAACTTTTTTATTATTTGCATACAATACTTAGATAAATGAATAAATACATAGTCTTGAGTGTTTTATTATAAAGGCAAGCAGACAGAACTCATTTTAAAAAACGCCAGTAGTCAATAAATGAGTGAAAAGGTTTAACCTCAAAGAAATACAAATCAAAACAGTCATGAGAGATGGCTCTCAACGTAAGATAATTACCTCTATCTCCAGATTCTTAGATTATACGTGCAGTAGCGAAATCACAAGAAATGATTTCTGCAAGGCCATGGAAGATTTGCCTGGCTCTCTCCAGGCCAGTGGCGAGGTGCTCAGTATACAGAACATCAGTTTTAAAATACCCACCATGTTGATTTGTAGTAGCTTTGAAGGTCTCTTGATTAAAAAAAATAAAAAATAATAAAAATAAATAAAATAAAATACCCACCATGGCGCCACACCAGCCGCAGAAGGACGCCTCCCAGAGATTCCAGCGACCACATCTGGAGCAGGAAATGGTCCCCCCTTTCTGAGTGGGCGGAGGAGGGGCTTTATCCCCACTGCACAGCGACTGGTGTATGAAATGTCATTTAAAGGCAGATCAATACTATATTCTCTAATCCCCCTCCCAATTCAAAAAAGATAAAAAGCCCTGAGATAATATAAGCCCTGGAAATACTGTCTCTCTTTTTTTTTTTTTTTTTTGCCCAAAGGAGTACAGCTATGATGGGTTTCACCAACGAATAAATTAGTACATAGAGCACACATTCCTTCATAGAGATCACAGAAAGTCAATGAAACTGGTGCCTCACACATCTTAGCATTTTTCAATATCTTTAATATCAAGGACAGCAAGGCCTACTGTTGATTTAAGAGAACAATATTAATGAAGGAAGAAGAGAGCTGAGCTACCTGAGGGGCCATGATTAAGGCTCATCTTCTATCCTTCGGAGTTCTGGTTTCCATAGAAAAATGTGACTTGATTTCCCACTCTTGACACATGGGAAGAATTATTTTATATTGGGGACGGAGGCAGAATTGTTTCGTGAGAATTCCAGGGACTACGTTAGGTAAACCTAGATTCAAATGTGTTCTTGTTGCTTCCTCACCATTGCTTGGTAAAAGACTTGCTCACTTCCCAAATGGAGGTGACAGCACAGTGGCTGCTACCTGACCACCCACCATGTGCAGACTCCATTCCCACACTGCCCCGCACCCTCGCATCAGTCCCACGGCGGACCTGGGAGGTGGGTGCCGTCACTGTCCCCATCTTACAGAGGGAGAGCACGGGGACACAGAGAGGGTGAGACACACGATTAGAGCCATGTGACTCTAAAGCCTGGCTTCTCTCCCTGACGCCATACAGCCTCTTCAATAGAATAGCTTCCTCCCAGGTCTGCAGGGGTTCAGACGATTACCGACAGTTAAGTGGACAGGAATGCTCAGCACAGAGCCAAGCTGCACCGGCCAGCTGCCTTCCCTTCCCACCTTGCTTTCCGCTAGATCCTGATTTCTAGAGGAGAAAGCACTATAGTTTCACTTTTATTCCCCCAACGAGGACAGTCCTGGTACCCTGGCACAGGGGAATCACTCAAATAGTTTTACTGAGTCAATGGCTGATTTAATTGGTAACTGAATGCGTGTATTACCACATATGCCCCGCACAATACTAAGAATGCACACACCAGGGAAAACATTTGCTAAGGGCACTTTTCCCTCAAAGACACACATTTTAGTTCACTCTATTTGCCCACCTGTATTCCATTTTGCTTCAGGGCCAGCTCTGTTATCTAGAATAGAAACCTATTCTAAGAGAGACCACATCAGCCCCAGCATCCACAGACACCCGAGAACAGAGGCTTTCTTTGTGTGTGCTTGCCCTGATTTCTGCGTAATTAGAGGGAAAGTCCTTCAGGTAAATCAAAGATAAATTCTCTGCAAACTTTTGCTTCAGAACTTACATTTCAATTATCCTATTCTTAAAACAAGACTTTGGTATAAAGCTTGCTGGCCTGGGCTTCTAAATACAAAGCCTTCAGACTTTTCATTGAAATGTACTGACTGTTTAAGTAGCTATTAAATATAACATTGCTTTAAAGAAAGAAAAGTTATCTTTCTGATAGTCTTACTGATCAAAAAAACAAAAAAAAAGAGAAAAGAAAGAAAAGTTATCTTACCCCATCATATTAATGCTGCTAAACAAAGAAAAGACATAAAGCTATCAGAATGAACATGCATTGTTACTTCTATGGACTACAGAGATAAATACTATCCTTGTGACATCTAAGCTCTGATATACCATTCAGATAGAAATACAATTTTTAGAAAGAATTCAATTTGGGGATTATTCTGAAAATAGTTTTGTTGATAGATGAGACCTAGAAACACTTATATCACTGACAGTTAACGATTTAAATGGTTTTATTATTTACATAAGAAGTACTGAATGCCTGAGGAAAGAATGAGAAAATCTTTTGCTGGCAATTTACTTAAATCTATCGGTAAGAATATATCAAGATTTCCAGTTCTATTGTTTTCTAGTTTTACACTTTCCCTATCTCACTATTACCCTCTCTGGTGCCTTGGAAAAAATTATAGAGTGTCATTTTATGATTAGAGAGTAATATCAAGTCTGAAACCACATTAACAGATGACTCTCAATAACTAACAATCCTAAAATTACACCAGCTTTGATTTGAAAATAGATGCGTTTTCTGATTAAATTCACCACCTTGTTAGTTTGTTTTTAGTCTCAGTTATGAAACACATCATATGCAACAGAAATCATCTTTAAAAAAAAAAACTACAGATTTTTCCTTCTGGCAATGGTAACCTAAGACCATAACAAATGACTCCCACATAGAAAAGAACTATAAAATCTGCTGACAATAGGCCAGGATCACTGGCGGTCAAGAGGTCGAGACCAGCCTGGTCAACATGGTGAAACCCCGTCTCTAAAAATACAAACATTAGCCAGGCGTGGTGGTGAACGCCTGTAATCCTAGCCACTTGGGAGGCTGAGGCATGAGAATCTCTTGAACCCAGGTGGTGGAGGTTGCAGTGAACCAAGATCACATCATTGCACTCCAGCCTGGGCAACAGAGCATGACTCTATTTCAAGATAAAAAAAATCTGCTGATAATATATGAAGGCAGTGGAGAATGAACAGAGGCAGATACACTTGCAGCAAGAACACACAAGAAGTGGGGGAGTTACACAAAGTCAGTTCCCATCTTCACGGCTTTCACCCTGGAACTAAGGGCAGTCTACATAGCGCATGTGAAGTGGGGGGCACAAGGCAGTATTTCTGGCCAAGAGAACCAGAAAACTGAAGCTGGGGAATATTTGGAGGCTGAAGAAGTAGGGAGCTCCTAGAAAGAAAGAAGAGAAGGGATCTTCTCTGTGTATTCAGATCTCTTACCAACCCCTGAACAACATATGTACAGAATGGGCTTGAAGCAGCTAAGCTAAAGACAAAATATCTGAATGGAGACCAAACTTTCTATCCCTCCTCGCCTCAAACTTTTTTCTTGGCATTTAGTATGTTGAGGAATTTTAAACTGTAGCCTAGCATTATGAATGTTTGGCTGTGGTACTTTCTGGATTCTGTTACTCTGGGAGTGTTGCTGTTGTTTGCTTGCTTTGCTTTAACAGGCAATAATATGTATGCTTGCTTTTGGGGAATGTGCTGCCTGGAAGGAACTAGAACTACTGCTTCACACATAAAAAGAAAACCAACTGAGTTTGACCCTAAGATGAATCAGATGTTAGAAGAAGCAAACCAGAAATTTAAAGCATATACACTGTCCACAATAAATAAAAAGAGGAAATCTCAACAAAGAAATAGAAACATAAAAAACAGAAACAGGTGAGAATTCTGGAACAGAAAAAGATAATATTTTAAATAAAATATTTACTAGATGTACTTAATATCTAAAAGGATATGGTAAAGGAAAGTGTAAGTGAACTGGAAGATAGATCAACAGAAATCATACAGTGTGAAAAGAAAAAAAGATTTTTTAAAAATGAACAGGCCCAGTGCAGTGGCTCATGCCTGTAATCCCAGCACTTTGAGAGGCCAAGGTGGGCAGTTTAACTGAGGTCAGGAATTCGAGATCAGCCTGGACAACATGGTGAAACCTCGTTTCTACTGAAAATACAAAAACTAGCCAGGCTTGGTAGTATACAACTGTAATTCCAGCTACTCAGGAGGCTGAGGCAGGAGCATCACTTGAACCCAGGAGGTGGAGGCTGCAGTGAGCTGAGATTGCAGCACTGCACTCCAGCCTGGGTGACAGAGCAAGACTCCATCTAAAAAAAAGGTCCTCAGGGACCTATTAGAGAATATCAATTCAACAGATGTGTATACGGACTTGAGATGGACAGTAGAAAATGAATGGAGCAGAAAAATCAAGAAATCATGGCCAAACAATTCCCAAATCTGATGAAAGACAGAAATTTACAGTTACAAGATTCTAAATGAACACCAACCAGAATAACTTCACACTAAGGTATATTATAGCCAAATTGCTAAAAACCATCACTAAAGAGCAAATCTTAATAAAAGCAGCGGGAGAAAAATAACACATCCCATATGTGAAAATGTCAGTTTGATTTACATCTGACTTTTGAGCTGAAAGCATGGAGGCCAGAAAAGCGTGGAACAGCTTTAAATTTCAGAAAGAATATTAACTGTCAGCCTAGAATTATATATATCCATCAAAAATACTCTTTGAGAATATCTTCATTGTGGTGGTGGTGAAAATGGCTGAAAATTACCAACATTCACCAAACTGCACAATTAAACTAGGTGAATTTTATTGCATATAAATTATGTCTCAATAAAACTGGAAACAAGAGGAATTCCTTCAAATCAACTATTCGTAGACTGTCAGTGATTAGGCGATGTTAAAAGGTATCTTGTCCAACTCAACAGTTATGAGTTGAATTCTGTCTGCACAGATAATGACATGTTGGAGTCCTAACCTCCAGTACCCCAGAATGGGATCTTATTTGGAAAATGGTCTGTACAGAAGTAATCAAGTTAAAGTGTGGTCATTAGGGTGGATCCGAATCCAGTGTGACTGGTGTCCTTATGAAAAAGGGAAATCTGGACACAGAGGCACACACACACAGGCAGACACACGGGGAGAGGTCCATGGGATGGCAAAGGCAGAGACTGGAGTGCTGCATCTAGAAGCCAAGGGAAGCTTGAGGCTACCAGAAGCTGGGAGAGAGGATGGAAGAGTTCATTCCCTAGCACCTTCAGAGGGAGCGTGGCCCTGCTAACACCTTGATTTTAGACTTCTGGTCTTCAGAGATGTCAGACAATAGATTTCCGTTGTTGTTAGCCACCTAGTTGATGATGCTTAGGAAAAAATGAGTACACACCCATTTGCTACTAATCATGTAGACTAGTGGTCCCCGATCCCCGGGCCATGGACGTGTAAGGATCCGTGGCTTGTTAGGAACTGGGCCACACAGCAGGAGGTGAGTGCTCCACCTCCTGTCAGATCAGCGGCAGCATCCGATTCCCACGGGAGCGCAAACCCTACTGTGAATCGTGCATGAGGGATCTAGGTTGTGCGTTCCTTATGAGAATCTAACTTATGACTAATGATTTGAGGAGGAACAGTTTCATCCTGAATCCATTCCCCCACCATGTCCATGAAAAAATTGTCTTCTACAAAACCGGTCCCTGGTGCCAAAAAGGCTGCAGACTGCGGCTGTAGACCATACTAACTGCACTGTCCAGTTTCATGAGGAATCTCTCTGAGATGAGAACAAACTCCACAAACAGTCAAAAACATATATAGCAACCCAAAAGAAGCAAGTTTTTTCTTCTAAGTTGGCTAGTAAATGACAACTTTTTCGTGGTACAAGACAAGAGTCACCTGGAAGTAATTTTAATTTTCATCAGAAACATTTTATAAACAAAATAGATCATCTAAACTGAACTTATTCACTGTATTTAAAGTGCATATACTCCTATTCCTTCATTTCAATATTCAAAACGGGCTTGTAGGAAACCCAAGAAATAGGTGGCTACGATGTTCTCAATTTCAAAAAGCAGTGTGCATATAGAGTCAACAAAGACAGTGGACCATGGGGTGTAGGGGGGAGGGGGTGGGGATGACAAAGACATACCTGTCTGTAAATGAAATGTGAATGAGTTCACTTCCCGCAGGCTAATGCCAGCCTCCCATGCAAAGTTATTCAACAAAATCATAAGAAATAATTGCTTTTACTGAATCCTCTTGAAGTTAAGACTTTGCAAACAATTCTGTATTGATGAATATATCAAGTTCTCTCCACATATAGAAATCTTGCTTTCAGTTTACCATGAGAAGCTTTTCTTGGTCTCTCTCCCCAATCCCCTGGGCAGATTCTGTTTCTCTATTACCATTAACATTGAATTTAGTAGCCACTAAATATAGGGTCGGCACATGCAGTCAACCTACCTCTTGTGATGAAGGCAGGGCCCCCTCACATGTGACACAGTATCTCAGGTGAGCAGGATTTCCTGTACCACAGGCCCGGCAAATTACCTTCTCCTTCACAACAAAAAATAAGAAATACATGTTCCTCAGAGCAAACAACTGTGCAAAGAAATCATCAAGCAGTCTCTTCTGTCAGTCATTCAGCTACAGACCCTCACCGCATCCAGAGCCTGAATATTGGATTGGTTTAGGAGTTACTGTAAATAGTGTCAGACAAATATCTATAGTTTTTTTGTTTGTTTGTTTGTTTGTTTCCATTTGTTTTTATAGAGATGGGATTTGACCATGTTGCCCAGCCTGGTCTCCAACTCCTGGCCTCAAGTGATCTTCCTACTTCAGCTTCCTAAAGTACTGGAATTTCAGGTATGAGACCCCATACCCAGCCTGAATGTAGTTTTAAAAGAAACAAAACACCAAAGAAACAAACACACACATTGAAATGAGTATTCATGTGGTCTTCAGAAGGCAAGTTGGAAATTCTGCACTGGTTATGTGTAAGGTTGTGTGTGTGTGGTGTGTGTGTGTGTGTGTGTGTGTGTGTGTGTGTGTGTTTCTCCAGTGTGAAAACCATGACACTGAGTAGACACTCCATTTTATGGCTTAAGCAGTAAACAGAAAGACCCTAGACCAGCAAGGGATTATCTGTGTGTTTACAAGTAATCTGGTTCTTGAACTGGGATTTATCTTCTGGGGCTTCATGTTAAATATGAATTTAGGTTTGCTCTGTAGTTTTTACTTAGGACGAAGTGGAAAGATTGCCTAAGAAAGAGAGTCGTTAAGTACAGCTTTCTAAGTCAGGACCCTGGGGTTAAGTCGCAACACAGAGAAAAACAAAAGACAAAGAAATGATGGTAAAAATAGTCAAGCGTTCAGCTATCAGAGGTTTGCTAACAACTGTTTCGTTACTGACCACTCTATTCTCTCAGGATATAATCTTTTTCAATTGTCAATGACCAGTAGTGCTCAAGTATTCCTTCCTAGTCCAGCACTGTGGTCCCTAGGTGTCCTGAAACTAATAAATCAAACAGTGTGTTCAGAAGCTGGTACAGGTAAAGTGGATGACCAAGAAAAAGAAAGCCCAACTCCCAGGGTTTTATTTCCAATACCACCAGGTAGCTCCATGAAGTCCTAGCCTTTCAAAGCCTGGTTAATTCCATTTTAGTGGAAGATTCCAAAGTTTTCCTAGGAACTGAGCCAACTCAGAAAACCACAGTTCCCAATCTAAACAACTCCTAAAGGGCAGAGGCCAACTGACTGCTATTCAAAATGGCAGAGAATCACAGTCTTGCTCTCAATGGTTCCTGACACTCCCTGGGGCCAACATTCTTCAAAGCTATTTAAAGTTACCACAACATAATCTGCAATTGGCCAGCCTTTATGCACGAGATTTAGGGCTATGACTTTCCTGAAGATGTTGCTTCAGGAAAGGTCTGGTAAAACACAGAGAAATGAGACAAATTTCCTGTCTCCATGTTAAAAAATCCTGAGATCAAATAAAAGTAATCTTGCTGTGTGCTGCAGAAAACACTTTCTCTAGAAGAGAAAACTGGAGAACAACTAAAACTGCTTACTTCTCAAGTCCAATGGCTTCCTTTAAGACCTCACCTTGGCCGGGTGCGGTGGCTCAAGCCTGTAATCCCAGCACTTTGGGAGGCCGAGGCAGGTGGATCACGAGGTCAAGAGATCAAGACCATCCTGGTCAACACGGTGAAAACCCGTCTCTACTAAAAATACAAAAAATTAGCTGGGCATGGTGGTGCGTGCCTGTAATCCCAGCACTTTGGGAGGCCGAGGCGGGTGGATCACGAGGTCAAGAGATCGAGACCATCCTGGTCAACATGGTGAAACCCCGTCTCTACTAAAAATACAAAAAATTAGCTGGGCATGGTGGTGCGTGCCTGTAATCCCAGCTACTCAGGAGGCTGAAGCAGGAGAATTGCCTGAACCCAGGAGGCGGAGGTTGCGGTGAGCCGAGATCGCGCCATTGCACTCTAGCCTGGGTAACAAGAGTGAAACTCTGTCTCAAAAAAAAAAAAATAAAAATAAAAATAAAAAATAAAAATAAAATAAAAAATAAAGACCTCACCTTGCAGGGCTCATAATCCAAAACTGCATCTCATATATTTGCCCAATGCATACTCTGCCCATTCCCCACCCTGCCTTACAAAACACTTTTTGTTTTTAAATTTTTAATTAATCAACTTTTAACTTTATTTTTAGAGCAATGGAATGTTCACAGCAAAATTGAGTGGAAATTACAGAAGATTCCCATACACCGTGTCCCACCCCACAGACACAGCCCCCCCAATATGCACATCTCACACCCAAGCGGTACATCATCAGTGAACATACACTTAACACATCATTATCACCCATGGCCCATTGTTTATATTACAGTCCAGCACTAACCCTTTAAACCCTTTCCCTGCCCTTCTTCTTCTGAGATGCTGCTACGAACTTGTCTAAGTGGCGGTCTACCTTACTGCATCCAGTCCATTAAACAGTTTTCTTGGTTGACGGGTTTTTCTATATTTTTTGTGGAGACTTTTGACACCATGCCATGGCTCACTTCTTTCTAGAGCAGTGACCATGACCCACAGTTAGAAATCGTTTTATATCACAATCCACTACACTCACAAATTCACAGATGTCTGTGGGGGTGATGTGGAATTGAGGCCACCTTCAGATGGCCTTAATGGGGATGCTAAACACCTCTGATGAGAACTTTTCAAAAGTCAATATCCTCATTTGCCATTTCATCCACAGCTTTTGTCACATATTGTCTAGTTGAATGGTTGTAGGCTATTTAACAGAGCCAGTTAGTCGCTGGGATATAACGTTCCCTTTTAAGGTAGCTGGAGGAAGAGAACAATTTTCAAACTCCCAAGCTTTAATTGACACAACTAAAAAGGAAGAACGTTGAAAACAAATGAGTAGATCATTGCAAACTTAATGTCAAAACTGACTAAGCTAAAATTCTGCTTGATGTGGAGTTGTGGTTACACTGGTTTTAACCCCAAATCACTGTATGAAAGGCTGGGACTCACTGAAGGAGCCCATGCTTCAGGCACGTGAATCATCAGATCTTTTCAGGAGGATCCCAGACTAAGCCTCACAGATTCTAAGAACCACAAAGATGACTGAAGTCCTGGAGGTATACTGCATGCTGCTCGTAAAATTCCAAAGGAAACTTGGTAAATGTCTTCAGTTAATGTTCTCTGATGAACAGGGATGTTAAAACTAGTTTTAAACTTTAGAAAACATCCAGTGGAGGCCAGGCATGGTGGCTCATGCCTGTAATCCCAGAACTTTGGGAGGCCAAGGTGAGAGGATCACATGAGCCCAGGAGTTCCAGACCAGCCTGGGCAACAAGGCGAAATCCCATCTCTACAAAAAATAGAAAAATTCACCTGGTGTGGTAGCACATGCCTGTGATCCCAACTACTTGGGAGCCTGAGGTAGGAGGATCACTTGAGCCCAGGAGGTCAGGCTGCAGCAAGCCGTGACTGTGCCACTGCACTCTAGCCTAGGCGACAGAGTGAGACCTTGTCTAAAAAAAAAAAAAAAAAAAAAAAAAAAAAAAAAAAAAAAAAAAAAAAAAAAAAAAAAAAAAAAAAAAAAAAAAAAAGAAAAAAAAGAAAATGGCCAATAGATGCATTTGTTCAGTGAAATAAATAAGTTGCAAGGAGAAGTATACAACATGATTTCATTTTTGTCTAAAAAACCAAACCAAACCAAATCTAAACGTACGTATATATAAATATATTTCTGTGAATCTAGAAAAATACATAAAAGGACACCCTAAGCTGCTAACATTGGTTATTTCAGAGAAATAGAAATGTAGGTAGAGTGAAGAAATTATACACTTTTTGGTATATCTTTGGATTATTTGTTACCAAAAATTAGGTATTAATTATTTTAAAGAAGTAAATTATAAAATCTTCTCTTATGCTGAAAATAGGTATCTTTGTCATAGGTCAAATACAGAAATGTCTGCTACTGTATCTTTTAATCCTGGCAGGAAAAAAAATCTGGTAGAACAAAAATCCTCAGCATTGATAGTGCCTTAAATCCACACAAGACAAGACTGCAACTGCTGTGGAATCTGTCTTCATCACAGCAGGAAGAGAGCAGATGGTGCTTTTGTACTCAGTGGAGTGAGCTAGAGACCAGTGCTGAAAGGGGAAGGGAGCTGTCAATGGCATGCTGTTGCCTGCCAGGTTAGGCTTCCTGGCTTCCCTGAGCAGTTCACACGAGTATTCCCACCAACCTCAGAGGTGGCTGTCTGGGTAAGAATGTTAACTCAAAACCTGTCACCCTTATGACATCTGGGAGAGGCACTGGAATGAAGATTGGCAGGCCAGGGTTTCCAAACAGGTGTCCTTCTCTGAGTAGAAGCAGTAATAGAGATTGTCTGGCATAAAAAGTCATGCATTTCTCTCCAGGATCAGAGGTTATGATGATAAAAGTCCCTCTACACATCAAGTCTGGTTGTTTTTGTTTGTTTGTTTGTTTGTTTTGTTTTGTTTTGTTTTTTGAGACGGAGTTTCGCTCTTGTTACCCAGGCTGGAGTGCAATGGCGCGATCTCGGCTCACCGCAACCTCCGCCTCCTGGGTTCAGGCAATTCTCCTGCCTCAGCCTCCTGAGTAGCTGGGATTACAGGCACGCACCACCATGCCCAGCTAATGTTTTGTATTTTTAGTAGAGACGGGGTTTCACCGTGTTGACCAGGATGGTCTCGATCTCTTGACCTCATGATCCACCCGCCTCGGCCTCCCAAAGTGCTGGGATTACAGGCTTGAGCCACCGTGCCGGCCTTCAAGTCTGGTTAAAACCTGTCCCCACTTTCAACCTTCAGGGCCCACAGGGAAAAATCTGAGCTATTAGGTCTGGTAGAGAAGAGATCATCTCCCACAACCCACAGCACCCCAGCATTGCTACAGCCCAGCAAAACCAAACTCCTTGCAAAGTTTTGAGGCACATTTTCTAAATCTCATCTTTGAATTCATTGTTGGTTTCCTCATTATATGTCCTAACTTTGGTCCACCAATAAAGTAGAAGTAAGTTGTAAAATTATTCCTATTGTTACTTATCATAAGTTATAAAAATCTCTCTTATAAAAAGTACCCTGCAAGAAAGAAGCCACTCCTGGATTTAATGCTACTTATCACTGTAGAAGTCTTGTGTTTATTCTCAATATAGGATTTACAATAAATTGACGGGAAAAATTACTTACATGTACCTTTGTGTCTCTCTGCCTTCCCATAAAATGGAAAAAATTCTAGATTTCAGATACTGAAGATGGTGTTACATATACGTATTGAATTTAGATCACAACTAACATTTACCCCTATTCTTCCTGTTTTGAATAGTCCAAAGAGTTTGCAATGACATTATCTTCAAACATCCTGAATAAATGTATTAATAAGAATAGATTCTGCTGTGATTGACAGAACACCCAAAAAAACAGAGGCTTAATAAGAGAAAAATAGATTTCTCTCTCTCATATATATAAGAAGTCTAAAGACAGACTTCCAGGACTGTATGGTGGCTTCCTGCAGTAGTTTTGTTTGTTTGTTTGAGACAGAGTTTTGCTCTTGTTGCCCAGGCTAGACTGTAATGGCACAATCTTGGCTCACCACAACCTCTGCCTCCCTGGTTCAAGCAATTCTCCTACGTCAGCCTCCTGAGTAGTTGGGATTATAGGTATGCATCACACGCCCAGCTAATTTTGTATTTTTAGTAGAGACACGGTTTCTCCATGTTGGTCAGGCTGGTCTTGAATTCCTGACCTCAGGTGATCCGCCCACCTCAGCCTCCCAAAGTGCTGGGATTACAGGTGTGAGCCACTGCGCCTGGTTTCTGCAGTAGCTTTTAAAGCATCTTAGGATTGAAAATAGTCATCAAATAAAAAGATCAGTAAATTTTCCTCTACCTGACTTTGGCCTGGCCAGTTTTTCAAAATCTCATTTCTAGAGGCTCACACAGCCTTGGATATTTGTGAACTCTTTATGCTAAAGAGAGCTTGAAGGTGGAAGGACAAGTGGACTTCTCTTTTCTCTGAACACATTTTGCCCATATACAACCCACGAGACCATCTTAGAAGTGTTATGGCCTGTACATTAAGACCATGCATTTCCCTTACTGCTAAAAACTCTTGGTTTTCTTATCCCCAAATTCCCTCTATTAAATCTATTTTATCCTCCAGTGACCTTTACTTGGGATTAAAGAGGACATAAATGGGACTGTAAATTGCAGAATGGAGAAGATTTAGTTGTATGTTTAATGATTCTATCAAAAAATTTTTCACAGTACGATATCATTTTTCTAGCAAAGTTTTTTGGATGTAAGTGATGATACATAACTTTTTCTTCCACGTGACTAGTTCTAGTCATTCTTTTTCTCCATAATAAGAACCTATAATCAAATAAGGCAAACAAAAGTATGAAACTACTGTAAGGACAAGATTATAAATCAATACTAATTGCAATGTTGAAGTTTAAATATATGAAGTAAAAAATTGTCTACATCAGCTGTAGTGCAATTCGTCCTCCAAATCCATGTTCATGGAATACAATCCTACATATCTCCCTTAATTTTTTTTTTTTTTTTTGAGAGGGAGTCTCTGTTGCCCAGGCTGGAGTGCAATGGCATGATCTCAGCTCACTGAAACCTCCGCCACCTGGGTTCAAGTGATTCTCCTGCCTCAGCCTCCAGAGTAGCTGGGATTACAGGCGCATGCCAACACACCCGGCTAATTTTTTTTGTATTTTTAGTAGAGACAGGGTTTCACCTTGTTGGCCAGACTGGTCTCAAACTCCTGACCTCAAGGTGATCCACCCACCTCAGCCTCCCAAAGTACTGGGATTATAGGCATGAGCCACTGCCCCAGCCATCTCTTTTAATATTATGGATCCTACTGGCAAGTTAAACTCTTGGACAGCATGTCTTACCAAAAATGAGAATGGATTTTGTTCTTGTATATTAGCTTATCAATTGTTACCCCCTCCTGACTGGGTGTGGTGGCTCACGCCTGTAATCCAGCACTTTGGGAGGCTGAAGCAGGCAGATCACCTGAGGTCAGGAGTTTGAGACCAGCCTGGCCAAGATGATGAAACCTCTGTCTCTACTAAAAATACAAAACTTAGCCAGGCATGGTGGTGCATGCCTGTAGTTCCAGTTACTTGGGAGGTTGAGGCAAGAGAATCACTTGAATCCAGGAGGCAGAGGTTGCAATGACCTGAGATCACGCCACTGCACTCCAACCTGGGTGATGGAGCAAGACTCTGTCTCAAAAAATATATACATATATTGTTACCCCATCCCACCAGCTGAAAAAGGACATATACCTGTTCAGACATTGCTTTCTATGTATTTCATTCATGTTTTTACAGAATTTCATTTCGTTACCTTCAAATGGAGGCTTGCCTGTGGCTGCAGCTGTAGAGCAAGAGGGGCCTCGCACACCACGCAGATGGGAGTGTTCATGGGTACCAAGCTTCTGCATTCTGCACATAAGCCCATCTGTACAAGGAAAAGGTCCGCTTTATCTTGCATGTAAAAACTGAAGGCATGAATAGATCTCAGAATGTAAGGTTTGGTCTATAGCTATACCACCCTGAACACTCCGGATCACATCTGATCTCAAAAGCCAGGCAGGTCCGGCTTGGTTAGTACTTGGATGGGTGAATGTAAGGTTTGATTTGTTTTTGTAAAACAATTTTTAAAATAATTACCTTTATAAAGATATGCTAATTACTTTGACTTGACCACTGCACACTGTATCAAATAACACCACATATCCCATAAATATGTACAATTGTTATGTGTCAATTAAAAAGTAAATAATAGAAAATAAAATAGCAATATTATATTTCTTATTATTTTATTCCTATTAAGAGTAAAAACATGTTCATTGTAGAAAAGAGAGATGTTAAAAAAAGAAAAATATCCATAGGAAATTAATTAATAGCATGATAGAATGAGGAGGTCTATGAATCCTCTTCCTTAGAAGGAATCACAGGAATGGCACGGTGGCTCACGTCTGTAATCCCAGCACTTTGGGAGGCCAAGGTGGGAAGATCACCTGAGGTCAGGAGTTCAAGGCCAGCCTGGCCAACATGGCAAAATCCCGGCTCTACTAAAAATACAGAAATTAGTCAGGCATGGTGGCAGGTGCCTGTAATCCCAGCTACTGAAGTGGGAGAATTGCCTGAAGCCAGGAGCTGCAGGTTGCATTGAGTGGAGATCACGTCACAGCATTCCAGTCTGGATGACAAGACCGAGACTCTATCTCAAAAAAAAAAAAAAAAAAAGTAATCACGCAGTCAGACAATGCTGTCAAAAAGCAAGCACTTCAGCAACCTGAAAGTCATCGAAAGGCAGACAACAAATTGAGAAGTTCCTGGAAATAACTGAACTGCAGAAAAGAACACTAAGCTCTGTGTGGTTGTTGCCTGGGCTGCCCCCTCCTCCCCTAGCTTTGTCAGTGTGGTGGCTCCACCCGGGCAAGGCAGGCTGTGAAAACTAGAAGTTATGTTGACTGCTGATGGGCAGGGCTCACTTGATTTGGAGTACTATTAAGGTGACAATTTTGGTGGCAAGCAAACAAGGAAGACCAGTAGTCCCCTAGTCCGAGATAATGAGTCTGTTTGAGGTTAATTGATGCACTGACTGGCAAACTGGCCTAGGATTTAACATGCAGTTCCAGGAGGTAATTCAATGATAAGGGCTTCATAGCTCTCCATATATCCTTAGTTGACTGGAGGTATGCACATGAGCAGTATAAACCAGAGTAGGCCCAAACCACCCACACAGCCCTGGCCAAGATAATGAAACCTTGAGACCAGCCTGGCCAAGATGATGAAACTTCGTCACTACTAAAAATACAAAATTAGCCAGGCATGGCGCTGCATGCCTGTAGTCCCAGCTGCTCAGGAGGCTGAGACAGTCAGATAATGCTGTCAAAAAGCAACTACTTCAGCACCCTGAAAATCATCAACAGGCAGATAATAAATTGAGAAGTTCCTGAAAATGACTGAGCTGCAGAAAAGAACACTATGCCCTGTGTGATTGCTGTCTGGGCTTCCCAGGAACTGCCCATAGAGATGCAAGAGAGCTCGGCATAAAGTAAGAGCTGGGGCTGGAAAATAGCCTTAAGTTTGAAAGCTACCCAGCTGACACGCAGATCCATCAGCAGGGAGTGGAGGCCTTCCAGGATGCAGCTACCTGAGCACAATCTCTGGCTAACTGAACACTAAGATATGCTAACCCAAAAGTAACATGAGGCTTAAATAGAGCAAGAAAAAGCTGCTGCTCTACTATTTACAATAGCAGTCTTAGAACCAACCCAAATGCCCTTCAATGATAGGCTGGATAAAGAAAATGTGTATGTATACGCCATGGAATACTATGCAGCCATTAAAAAAATAAGTTCATGTCCTTTGCAGAGACATGGATGAAGCTGGCAGCCATCATTCTCAACAAACTAACACAGGAACAGAAAACCAAACACCTCATTTTCTCACTCATAAGTGGGAGTTGAACAATGAGAACACATGGGCACAGGAAGGGGAACATCACATACTAGGGCCTGTCAGGAGGTGGGGGACAAGGGGAGGGAGGGCATTAGGAAAAATACCTAATGCACGCAGGGCTTAAAACCTAGATGATGGTTGATGGGTGCACCAAACCACCACAGCACACGTATACCTACGTAACAAATCTGCATGTTCTACACACGTATCCCAGAACTTAAAGTATAATTTTTTAAAAAAAGCTGCTGTTCTGTCTATGGAGTAGTCATTCTTTTGTTTCTTTACTTCTCTAATTAAGAAAAAAATTAAAAAATAAAAATCCTGACACTAGTGGTCACACATTGCAGGGGAGACAGACATTAAAGATTTAATCCAAGTAAACAAAACACAAATCAACAACCTTCAAGGAAAAAAAGTCAGAATCCAAAGTTGCTAAAATATGCTACCTGAAGTAGTCAAGAAAAAAATTATGAGACATGCAAAAATTAAAGTGACCTACACTCAGGGGAAAAATAGTCAACAGTCCACAGAAATTATCTGAGTGCCTTTAGATGCTGGATTCAGTAGATAAAGATTTCAAAGCAGTTATTTTTTTTAATGTTTAAAGAACTAAAGGAAACCATGTTTGATAAAAAATTAAAGTATGATGATAACGATCTGATTGATAGGGAACCTCAATAGACACAGAAATTATTTTTTTAAAAAGAATTAAATCAAAGCCTGGAGTTGAAAAGTAAATTAATTTTTTTAATTGCCAGAGGGACTCAAAAGCAGATCAGATATCAGACCAAAGAATCAGTGAACTTGAACATATAGCCCAACAACAGAAATTATCTAATCTGAAGAACAGAGAGAAAAAAGACCGAAGAAAATAAGCAGAACATCAAAAACCTATAGGGCAAAATCAAGTATAGCAACATATGTGCAAAGGAGAGAGAAAAAGGAACACAAAAAGAATTAAAGAAACAATGGCCAATATTTCCCACATTGGAGGAAAACCAAAACTCAGCAGATCCAATAAGCTCAATCAATCCTAAGAAAGACAAACACAAAGAGACCACACTTAAACACATTATAATCAGACTGCTGAAGGTCAAAAACAAAGAGAAAATGTTGAAAGTAGCAAGAGAAAAAGCTACTTATGCATCAAAAACAATGGGGGGCAGAAGGCAGTAGAATGAAAATTCAAAAGGCTGAAAGAGAAAATAATTGCTAAACCAGAATTACATCTGCAACAAACCATTCTTCAAAAATGAAGGCAAAATCAATATTCTGACATACACAAAGACAGAGAGAAATGGCTAGCAGACATATCTCACAAGAAATACTGAAGGAAGTTCTTTAAGCTGAAAGGAAATGACACTAGATGATCACTTGAGTTCACAGGAAGAAGTGAGACCAGATATAATAAACATGAGGGCAGATATAAATGACTCCGTAGACACTTTATCTCATCTTCTTTAAATGACATGATTGTATAACACTGCACCTTTTAGTTTATAATATATATAGATGCAATATATATGGTAATTACATAAAAGATAAAGAAAGGAAGAGGATACTTAAGCAATGTTAAGAAAAAGAAAGAAAGGGGTAGGGCACAATGGCTCACACCTGCAATCCCAGCACTTTGGGAGGCTGGGTCGGGGGTGGGGGGGAATCACTTGAGGTCAGGAATTCAAGACCAATCAGCCTGGCCAATATGGTAAAACCCTGTCTCTACAAAAAATACAAAAATTAGTTGGGTGTGGTGGTGCATGCCTGTAATCCCAGCTACTCAGGAGGCTGAGACAGGAGAATCGCTTGAATCCAGGAGGCAGAGGTTGCAGTGAGCCGAGATTGTGCCACTGCACTCATTCCAGCCTGGGTAAAAGAAGGAGATTCCATCTCAAAAAAGAAAAGAAATAGAAACAAAGGGAAAAGGAGTGAAATTTCTACATTTTAGTAGAATTGAGTGAAATTATTCTAAAATGGACTGTGATACACCCCATCTTCCATGATGTGATTATTATGTATTGCATCCCTGCATCAAAACATCTCATGTACCCATAAATACATATACCTACTATGTACTCACAAAAATTAAAAACCAAAATTAAATAAAATAGAATGTGATAAATTAAGGTCCATATTGTAATCTCTAGTGCTTAAGGTAACTTTAAAACTAGTAAAAAAAAAAAAATCAACAGAAGCATTAAAATGGCACACTAAAAATAACAAAAGAAATAACACAAGACCCAACTGCATGCTATCTACTAGAAACACCTTAAATTCAAAGACACAAATAGATTGAAAGTGAAAGCATAGAAAAGGACTTACAATGCAAACAGTAACCATAAAAGAGCTAGAGTAGCTACATAAATATCAGAGAATAAAGGACTTTAAGACAAGAAGTATTAGCATAGACAAAGAGAGACACTTTGTGATGATAAAAGGGTCAATAAGTCAGGAAGATACAGTAATTATAAGTGTATATGAACATACTAGTCCGTTCAGGCTGCGATAACAAAATACCATAAAGTGGGTGGCTTGTAAACAAAAGATTTATTTCTCAGAGTTTTGGAGGCTGAGAAATCCAAGATCAGGGTGCCAGCAAATTCCGTAACTGGTGAGGGCTTGCCCTCTGCTTCACAGATGGTGCCTTTTAGCTGTGTCTTCATATAATGGAAGGGCAAACAAGCTCCTCTGGTCCTCTCTTATAAGGGCACTAATCCCATTCATAAGGGGTTCATCATCATGACCTAATTACCTCCCAAAGACCCAACCTTCTAACACCATCACCTTTGGGGAAGACACAAAGATTCAATCGATAGCATGGACATAACAGCAAACCCCCAAAATACCTGAAGCAACAACTACAGGTCAGAGTTGAGATTAAGACTCCATCTATCACCTGAGCACCTAAAGCCCCAGCTTTACTGGGGGACCACAGTGGTGTTTTCAATCTCCAAGAATTAGCATGAATTTAGAGCCAGTATCAGATTATTCCCCTAAAGATTGGGGCATTTTTTTTCCTTAATGCACAGTCACTCAATTGAAAGCAACAAATCCCCTTGGGGAAGCATTCAAGGAAGATTTCTGATGTGTACTTGAAAAGCTCCAGGGTCCGTCCCTAAGGAGACCCAGCCTCCCCTTCAATCGAGAGACTCTGAATTTATGAACTGACTTACATCTAGAAACTGGGTGAGAAACTTGGTTGCTCCAATGCAGTGGCTCAAGTCAGTTTTTAGCTACATGACCTAGCATTTTTCAATTATACAGACCAAGCAATATACTAGGAGACTGCCCATCTATCATTCCTAGGAATCCCACAATCAGATTCCTCTTACTGAAACATCATGGCTGTCTTGTCTTCGGCAGTTAAGTGCTGCCACTTGACTTCTTCCACTCTGGGAATCTCACTAGCTCCAAAGAGATCAGGGAGCCCACCTAAATAGCAGCATCTCCCATGATCATATCTGGCCTATAAAGGACAGCAGCCACCAAACTTTTTAAGGATGCAGCTGCTCCTGTGTTAATGTATGCTTTGATATCTTAGTGATGGAAGTGTCTTCTGGGCCTTCTTGTGAAATGTAGATAAGAGTCAGGGGTGCAAGACACACATATCAAACCTACTCCAACTTTCTGTTTGCCTAAGTCTTTGTATTCTCTGCTCCACATGATGCTGGGTGTTATGGACTAAACTGTGTCCCCCAGAATTCATTATATTGAAGCCTCAACTGCCAACGTGATTATATTTGGAGATAGATCCTTTAAGGAGGTAACTTATATGAATTTATACCAATTTCATGTTACACTGTCTCTATTTAGAATCTAGTCACACACATATTCCCCAAGACTCTGCTACCATATGTTATTAAAATCTTCCTCTTTGTGTGTGTAAATTATTTCCTCCTGGATTACAGAATGCACCTGTCCTCCTACAGCATGCTGGGTTGGGTCCCTAGAATGTGACAGGTGGTTGTGATGGGTCTAAACCACCTGCAACAACCTGTGAGGAGAATAAACACCCCCTTTCAAGCCATCTGCCCAGGTGAGATGATCACAAACATTTCAAGCAAATGAAGGCTGGTATCCTCAGACAGAAGGGCATCCTCAGACATAAGAGTAAACTACATCCATTGGCCAGGAAGCACAGAGTGACAAGGATACAAGACTGTCAGTTTCATCTGGGTCCCACCTGCCACCTCCATCTGAGTTTCAGGATCACATTCTTTCCCAATTAATGGCCTAACTTTCACATAAGAAATGTGGTGATCAAGTGAATGTAACTGACATTATAAGTCCCCAACATACACAATGTAATGTTTGTTTGATTTTCAACAACATAACCCTGAAGCTATAAGAAGTAGATTATTTTGAGCTGTCATAGGAGACCTCTGGCTCCTGCACCATGACTTAAAGGTCTTGAGCTTGTTGTTTTCTTTCTGTGAATGCTCCTATGGACTCAGGAGAATACATCCTCCACAGTTTTTGTAGTCATAGTCGTTGTCACTGTCATAGAGTCAAATGCAGCAGCTACTTGGCCACTCAAGACACTTGCTTCAGTTGGCACTTCATCACAATCAGCCACAGGTGTCAGTGTGATTAATTGTGATGTCCCCTCATGCTATGGATCACCTGTGTCCCATTTCCCATTGGCAAGGAGCTCAGTACTGCTTTCATGCAAAGGAAAAGATCAAACCATTTCCAAAATTCCCTGTTCACAGGTTTATTTCCTGGGACCAATCCCAGTACCAATTCTGTTACAGTCAGAGTCCAATCAGGAGATAGCAACCACAAGTAATTTGAACAGGAAATGTTCATATAAATAATTATTAACTGGAAGCCAGGGCTTAACTACTAATGGGTAATATACAGAAATTCCAAACACAGGGAGGATCCCCTACCTCTATGGCTGAGACAGAGAGCCCAAGGAGGATCAAATTTGGAAGAGGCACTTACTTTGCCCCACACCTAAGGCTGGAATCAGACTTCATTGAATTGAGTGTGGCTGTCACCCACTGATGGCAGAGAAGTTCACTGAGGTGACACGTATCAGAGCTGGCAAGGAAAAAGCAGCCCACTGGGATCCAATGGAACTCATTAGGAACTCCCCATCTAGGGAACAGGCAGAACATGTTGTGAAGTCAGATACAGAGATGCTGCTGAACTTGCTGGAAAGCTGCTACTGGGATGCCCGAGAGGCTATCTGGGAAGCTGGCTGGGGTGCCAGTGGAACTCACTGAGAAGAGTCCACAGACAACACTGAAATTCACAGAGTTCAGCACAACCAGGTGTCCTACAGGTTAGCTCACATCACAAGAGCAAAGAGAGAGGAGAGCACGCACCTCTGCATCTCTTTACTGAGACTCTCCGAGAGTCTTGGGTCTAGAAGTAGGGTCCTGCCCCTTTGAATCCCAGAAGCCCAGCTCAGAGCAGGACACAGTAAGTACTCAATAAATGGTTGTTAGCTTAAATTACAAAGCTGTTATACATTAACGCCTATTGTTGCACTAATAGAAATATAATTGGGGGGCAATCTAGGTGTTTTAAAGTTCATCGTGTTAAGTATTTATAAACACTGATAACCTTTCCTCCTTGTAAAAACCAAGTTAGTTGTGAAAATCCCTTTCCAGGCAAGTAGAAAATAATTTCGGTATTGCACCAACTAATATAAACAGAGAAAAATCAAACCAATGGGACTTGTTCATATTTTGTTTTCTGTATTATCTTCTTTCACTAACACATTTAGTCCAGAATCTCTACAAGCTGCACACAATGAATTTGGCCCAATTTGGTGTTATAGTCTGTTTTTATTTAAAATCAACTCCCACACTTATTTCCTAAGATTCTGCCATTATATATTAGCAAAATATTTAAGGAATTTAAAATGTATCACTGAAGTAAATTAAATCAACTTCTACAAAAATCTTGAGCAATATATTAGAAGAATATTAAAACAGATAGCCACTTAATGCACCCCTTGCTTGAGGCATAACTCAGATCAAAACCTTGGACTTCGAACTCACTCGGTTAGTGACTTTTTCTTAGTAACTATCTTTTTTCAAATGGTAATTTTTCACTCAGTATCACAGATTCCTTTATTTTATTTTCATCTCTTTATTTCCAGTCCAATAAAAATCCCCAAAATTTCAAGCGCTCAAAAAATGAACACATTTTGGAAAAGGTTTTAATTTTTAGCAAGCCAAATATGTTTTTTAACTACCTCCAAAATTAGTAGTGACATAATATCAATTATTATCTACCCTTAATCAGCCAAAGCTATTAAATTTAAATACACAGGTCAATCTATAGATTCTTTGGACAGAATAATACACCGCATGGCTATATAGATATATAGAGACATAAAGTAATTGGTACTTCTCTTCATTAATTTCTAGAATATATTTCCTTATTATACCCAGGATATGAGCAGAGCTATCAAATGAGTAGAAAACATTTACTTATCCATGCACGCCTCATTAAAATAGTAAGATTCCAATCTTTTTTGAGTCTGTGCTTCTGGCAGGCCACACAAAAGACACAGCATTGTAAATAAGTTTTTCCATGCTTAAGTAGGAGTGTGTAAGAGTTCAACCAGCCAAAAATTCTTCCACGAGTATTTATGTGTGTGGTTCATGTGTACCAAGCACGGTGTTACTGCTGCAAATAAAGGTCAGATCAACCAATGAAAGATGTTTTTAAGAATTCTGCTGCTCACCTGAGCTCCTTTCGGGGGTGGGAGACGACAGCCAAATATGGGTGGGACAGGTGAGCCACATTCTTGACAGAAGCGAGCGAAGGGATCTGATGGGCGGGGGGCAAGGCAGTGGGCACACCTACAACAAAACAGGTTCCCGGTTGGCCATGTTCTGGTAGGTCAACGTTAAGAAGACCGGTAAAAATCCAAAAGCATTCAGTTTTAAACACAAAATAAAAGCAGACCACTCTCGATGGCTATGGAACAAGTTCAAGTTCCATCTTGAACTTCTCTAGGTCACTTTATTAGAAATACTTCTCCGGGTCATTTTATTAGAAAGTGGCCTCACAGCTGAATGCTCTGGTGTCCTTTCCACATAGGCCAAGTCCATTTAACTTCCTGATCATGGCAAGGAGTTCATCAGCAGTCTTGACCCCACTTCTTGGTTGGGCTCTGTCTGTCCTGTCACATTGGATTTGATGTTTACAAGGGTGAGCTCTGGGAATTCCAGTAATTTTTATATTATGCTTTTCTGATTTCCTGCCACTGAGCCCAGTCTAACGGACAGTTCTTGCTTGTGCATTAAACCCATCCTTTTTCTTTGCCCACTTTAGCTTAGTGTCCTCAGGCCCTGCCCCATAACAAATTCAAGACAACAGCATCTGGCCCCATTTCTTAGGCAGCCAGACCAATCATTTAGCTCCTATTCACCTAAATGGGTTCTGGCTATCCACCAAAGTGACAGCATTCTTGGAATTAGGCTGCTCTGTATGTACACTGCTACTGCCATGCCTTTCCAGACAAGTTGGGCTTCTGATCCTGTGACCTGTCTATCTGATCTGCTCCTCGGCAACTTGGAGGCTTAGATACTGTGCACTGGATTGCCTGGTTGCCTGCACTAGTCGCCACTGGAGACTGGAGTTGAGCTCACTTCCCATATTCTTATCCTCTTTAGTCCTTCATTACTGCACCATGGCACCAACGTTTCACCACATCTCCAGCATGGGCCCACCTACCAGGGCAACAACAGTTCCCTCTTTTCTATGCCCAAAGCTCATGAAGTACAATATGACTCTCTCATTCCTCTGATTTGAATTGAGGGCATAGAGCTGGGAGTCTCAGAAGGTCAAGCTAGCTGGAGCTTTTAGGAAAGAATACCAGAGAAGAGCTGCAGGGAGAGCCTCAGAGTTTTGCAGAGGGTCACCCTCAAGTCTTCATCTGGGTACCTGATGAGTGCATGTGACGGAAAAAACCACTCAAGGTCAGAAAGTAAACCCCAAAGGGGAACACAGAAAACAATATTCAGGATTCACACAGGGCTGGGAAGCTCATGCTTATATCACCAAAGTAGAAAAAATTCATATTTACTGAGGTGTCAGTAAGAATATTCTATATATACTCTAAATACCCCAATTAGAACATAGGCATTGTCAGATACAGTTTTTTAAAAAGCAAGACCTAACTACATGCTGCTCAAAAGAAACAAACTTTAAATAGAGACATAAACAGATTCAATGAAGGGTAGTATACACACATGCACACATCTAAAGAAAGCAGGAGTGGCAACATTAACATCAGAACAAGTAGGTTTCTGAGCAAAGAATATTAGCAGAGTTAAAGAAGTTTATTTCATAATGATAAAAGGATCATCTCAGCAAGAGGACATAAGAATCCAAAATGTTTATGTACTTAGTAACAGAGTGTCAAAGTACATGAAGAAAAAACTGATAGAAATGGAAATGCAAGAATAAATAGGCAAATTCACAATTACAGTCAGAGATTTCAATATTACTCTCTCAATAATTGATTATATGATAAAGAGAAAATCAGTAAAGATAAAGAAGAATACCATCAACTAACTTAACCTAACTGATATTTATAGTACACTTACTCTGGCAGAATACACATTCTTTTAAAGTACACATAGAACATTTACCAATCAAACCATATATCTTTTCTGACCAAAAGTAAATAAATTTGGTATAAACACCAAGCCAGGTGCACTGGATCATACCTGTAATCCCAACAATTTGGAAGACTGAAGTGGAAGGATCACTTGAGGCCAGGAGGTCAAGACCAGCCTGGGCAACTTTGTGAGAACCTCCCCTTTACAAAAAAAAAAAAAAAAAAAAGTAAGGTTTTTTTTGTTTTGTTTTGTTTTGAGACAGAGTCTTGCTCTGTCACTTAGACTGGAGTGCAGTGGCATGATCTTGGCTCACTCCAGCCTCCACCTCCTGGGTTCAAGTTATTATTGTGCCTCAGCCTCCCAAATAGCTGGGATTACAGGCATGTGCCACCATGCCCAGCCAATTTTTTTTCTGTGTGTATATTTTAAGCAGAGACAGGGTTTCGCCATGTTGGCCAGGCTGGTCTCAAACTCCTGGTCTCAAGTGATCCTCCCACCTCGGTTTCCCAAAGTGCCAGGATTACAGGCACGAGCCACCACGTCCAGCTAAAAAAATGTTTTTTAATTAGCCAGGTGTAGTTGCACATGCCTATAGTCCCAGCTACTTGGGAGGCTGAGGCAGGAGGATGCCTTGAACCCAGGAGTTTCAGGCTGCAGTGAGCTATGATTGGGCCTCTGCCCTTCAGCCTGGGTGACAGAGTAAGACCCTGTCTAAGAAAGAAAGAAACAAGAAAGGTGGAGAGGAAAGAAGGAAGGAAAGGAGGCCCAAAAGATAAAGGAAAATCCTCTAGTATTTGGAAATTTAATAAAACACTTCTAACTAACCCATCGCCCTCTGCAAGCAACAGCAATTACAATTAGAAACTGTTTGAACCGAATGAAAATGAAAATACAACATATCAAAATTTAGAGATGGCAAGTAAAGCAGTATTCAGGGGAAATATACAGTTCTAAATGCCTATGCTAGAAAAGAAGAGAGGCTTCAAATCAATAACTTTGTGTTCCCATTAAAGAAACTGAAAAAAGAACAAATAAAACCTAAAATTTACTCAAAAAATATTAATAAATATGAATGTACTTCTATCTAACAAAGAAATTTAATGTATAGTTAAAAATCTTCCTGAAAAAAACATCTTCCTGAAGGAAAACTCCAGATCTAATCATTTCACTTGGGAATTCCTACTAAATATGTAAGGAAGAAATAATACCAATTTCACACAAACCTTTCTCAGAGTTGAAAGAGCGAGAATACTTCCCAACTTATTCTATGAAGCTAGAATTATACTGATACTAAAACCAGACAAAGACATTAACAAGAAAAGAAAATCCCCCAACATCCTTTATGCAAATGCCGGCAAAAAAATTCTTTAAAACCTTTTAGCAAATCAAATTCAACATTATATAAAATAAATAAGACTTCAAGTGGATATATTTCAGGAATGTAAGGTTGATTTAACATTTGAAAACCAATCATTATAATTCACCACATGAATAGAAAAAAATTATCCTCTCAATAAACAGAAAAGATGCTTTGGATGAAATCCAATATCTATTCATGATTTTAAAAAAGAAAACATTCAGAAAATTACAAACAGGTCAAAATTTCCTCAACTTGGCTGGGTGTGGTGGCTCACGCTTATAATCCCAGCACTTTGGGAGACTAAGGTGGGCGGATCAGCTGAGGTCAGAGTTCAAGACCAGCCTGGCCAATGTGGTGAAACCCCGCCTCTACTGAAAAAAAAAAAAATACAAAAATTAGCCGGGTGTGGTGGTGCACACCTGTAGTCCCAGCTATTTTGGAAGGCTGAGGCAGGAAAATCACTTGAACCTGGGAGGTGGAGGTTGCACTGCTGCCAAGATTGCACTACTGCACTCCAGCCTGGACAACAGAGCAAGACTCCATGTCAAAACAAAATTAAATTAAATTAAAAAAAATCATTTTAAAGAACAATGAGACAAAAGTGTCTACTTTCACCATTTCCATTCAAAACTATTATATTCAAAATTACAGCCAAGGCAACAAGTCAAAAAAAAGAAAAGGGATCTATATTGGAAAGGAAAAAAGATAACTCTTCATTTGCAGGCTACCCAATGTCCTACGTAGATAATCCTATGGAATCCATAAAAAGCTAGTAGAATAAATGAATTTCATAAGACTCCAATATATGAGGCCACTAAGAAAAAATCAAGTGTATTTTGTATTTTAGAAATGAATAATCAGAAATTGAAAAGTTTTATTGTAGCAAAAAATATATCTATAATATGTTATAATATATCATATAGATTCTTCTCAACAATTTTTAATTATACAGTACAGTATTGTTAACTATGTACACATTGTTATAAAAAGATCTCTGGAACTTTTTCACCTTGCATGAATGTAACTCTATACCCATTGAACAACTGCCTGTTTCCTCCTCCCCTCAGCCCTTGGCAACTACCATTCTACTTTCTGTGAGTTTCATTACTTTAGATACTTCATTTACGTGGAATCATGCAGTATTTGTCTTTTTGTGAGACAGTGAAATTTTAAAAGCATTTACAAGGCCGGGCG